GGGGGGCCCTGGGGGCCCCCCGAAGTCGAGAGCAGCAAATGGATTTGCCCGCCACTTCGCCCGAAGCTTTTCGCTTCGCCCTCGACATTTTGGAATTTGAAAAAAAAGAAAAAGAAAAAAGAAATGAAGAAGAAAGAAAAAGAGAAAGAGCAGCCACTCAGCAGGTGAGACCAGCTAGCGCCACCCGCGAGGGTTTAGGGTTTAGGGTTTAGGGGCTGAAGCCCAGGGTTCAGGGTTTAGGGTTTAGGGCGTTAAGGGTTTAGGGTTTAGGGTTTAGGGTTTGGGGTTTGGGGTTTGGGGGGGGAAACAGCACCGAAGAACAGGAGGTAGTACCACTCACTTCAAAGGCGGCAATTAGAGGGTTAGGGTTGAGGCTCACCGTCAAGGGTTTAGGGTTTAGGGTTTAGGGTTTAGGGTTTAGGGTTTAGGAGGGCTAGACTTTATCCGTTTCTTTTGTGCCCCAGAATCGCCTGGTCTCCGACCCAAAGGAAGTCATCGGCACCGCCGACTATGGTGCGCCCAAACCCTAAACCCTAAACCCTAAACCCCAAACCCTAAGATCTAAACCCTAAACCCCAAACCCTAAGCCCTAAACCCTTGTGTTTGCATCAGTCGTGAGGCTCCCTAAGGAGGAGGCGGCTCTTCGGGCTCATCCTCTTTCTGAGAGAGGCACCACCTGGCTAGCTAGCTAGCTAGCTAGCTAGCTAGCTAGCTAGCTAAATGGCTAGCTAGCTAGCTGTTGCGGCAGTTGCTGCTGCATGTGCTGCTGCAGTTGCTGCTGCAGTTGCTGCTGCAGTTGCTGCTGCGCCCGCTGCTAAAGTGCTGCAAGTGCTGCTGCACTTGCCACTGTCTTTTTGCTGTACTTGTTGCTCCAGTCGAACTGCTGCTGCTGCCGCGGCTGCTGCTGCTGGTGCTTTAGTTTCTGCTGCTGCAGCAGCTGCTGCTGCTGCACTTGCTGTTACTGCTTCCTGTGGTGGTGCTGCTGCATCCGGTTCTGCAGCTGCATGGCGCTGCTGCTGCATTTGCTGCTCGTGCTACTTTCGCACTTGCTGCTGCTGCTGCTGCATTTGTTGCTGCTGCTGCACTTGCTGCTGCTGCTGCTGCTGCTCAGGGAAGTTCAGCCGGCTGAGCGAGCAGCTAAAAGCAGAAGAAGCAGCAGAAGAGGAGAGCCGCAGGAGAGAAGCAGAAGCAGCAAGGGCTTTGGCAGCAGGCTGCGGCCACGACCACTCAAAAGTATCCGCCAAACCCCAAACCCTAAACCCTAAACCCTAAACCCTAAACCCTAGGGTCTAAGGGCAGACGCGGACTGCGGGAGGGGCCGCCAGGCCCGCTCAGTAGCTGCTGCAGCGGCTGCAGCAGCGAAGGTTTGAAACGTAGGGTTCTAGGGTTTAGGGTTTAGGGTTTAGGGTTTAGGGTTTAGGGTTTAGGCTCTCGGTTAACCTTGCAGGAAAGGCAGCTGTATGAGCGGCCAACACTGGAGAAAATTGAAGCCGCAGAAAGGTGCGTACAGAGAACCTAAGGTTTAGGGTTTAGGGCTAGGGTTTAGGGTTTAGGGTTTAGGGTTTAGGGTTTAGGGTTTAGGGTTTAGGG